TGTGTGTATATATATATGTTTATATGTATATATACACATATATATATATATATATATATAATTAGGGATGTACTGATACTAGTATTGGTGCCGATACCAAGTATTTGGGCGAGTACTCCTACTCACCCACATGCTCCTATACCTTCCCCAATACTGGAATTTCCGGTCAGAGCAAGATTTCCTCTGACCGGCAGTGCCATAGGGGAACATGGAGCCAGCTTCCCGTGCAAGCAGGAAGCCGGCTCCATATTGTTCGGCCGGCTTGATGATGATTGGTTGAGCAGTCTGCTTTCCAGCCGTTCAGCATGGAGCCAGTAATGACCCGCCTTCTGGCTTCCTGATTGGCCGGGAAGCCGGCTCCCTGCTGATTGGCTTCCCGGGCCAATCAGCATCAAGCCGGCCAAAAAGCATGGAGCCAGCTTTCCGGCCAATCAGGAAGCTGGGAGGTGGGTCATTACTTGCCGCCCAGCTTCCTGATTGGCCCGGAAGCCGGCTCCATGCTGGTTGGCTGGGAAGCTGGGTTCCTGGTTTATCAGCATCGAGACGCCAATCAGGAAGCCAGGGAGGCAGGTCATTACTTGCTGCCCGGCTCCTTGATTGGTCCAGGAAGCCAGCTCCATGCTGATTGGCTGAAAAGCTGACTCCCTGTCCAATCAGGATCGATTGCCAAACAGCATAGAGCCAGCTTTCCGGACAATCAGGAAGCCAGGAGGCGGGTCATTACTTGCCGCCCAGCTCCTGATTGGCCTGGAAGCTGGCTCCATGCTGATTGGCTGGTAAGCTGGTTTCCTGGCTAATTAGCATTGAGCCGGCCAATCAGTAAGCCGGGAGGCGGCTCATTATTCGCTGCCCGGCTCCCTGATTGGCCATGAAGCCCGCTCCATGCTGATTGGCTGGAAAGCTGGCTCCCTGGCTAATCAGCATAGAGCCGGAAAAACAACATGGAGCCAGCATCACGGGCAAACGTCTGACCAGATTGCCCGGGGAGCCGGTTCCATGGTAGCAGAAGTACAGTATCGGTGAGTACTGAAAGCAAAATATTGGTACTCGCTACCGAAAAAACAGTATCTGTGCATCCCTTATATATATATATATATATATATAAGGGATGCACAGATACTATTTTTTCGGTATCGAGTACCAATATTTTGCTTTCAGTACTCACCGATACTGTACTTCTGCTACCATGGAACCGGCTCCCCGGGCAATCTGGTCAGACGTTTGCCCGTGATGCTGGCTCCATGTTGTTTTTCCGGCTCTATGCTGATTAGCCAGGGAGCCAGCTTTCCAGCC